GATATCATTAAATTTAGTGAATCAAGCACAGTAAGCCCCACCAACTTCTTTCATTTTTGGAAATACATGCTTATGTACACCTACTTCTGTCTATGATGTATGAATAACCAATCAAAAGCTCAGAATGTCCTCACATGGTTTTCTCAGCCTCTAGAAGGTGGGAAGTTTCTGGATTATTCCTTTGTCTGTTGATATGGCAGCACGTTGCTTGTGGGCATAAATGTGTGTTTGGCATTCTGTGAAATGTAAAAATTCCTGCCAATGACACCAGCTACACAATAATTCATTCAAAATAACATACATGATGCTAGTTATTCCTTGCTACAGTTGTAAGGTGAAACAGGGGTTTGGCAAAGGAAACTTAGATTGCTTCATTAAATGGTTTTGTCAGGTACCTGCAAGGAATTCCTGGAAATATGAACAAATGATACAACATCTGTTGTGTAGTTTCGATGATCCAGCACTAGATGCAAAGAAGTACCTAGAACCTGACCAACACTGCAGCTAGGAAACCTGCTGTAAAGTAGAGCCAGAATTCAGGGCTTTTAAATGTGGTGGCCTGGAAAATTAGCTGCATATGCTGATGAACTGTGATACTTACCCTCTAACACATGCCCCCATCACAGCTGGAGCTGAATATGTGAGATTCAACCCAAAGTGTCACTTTCTTTAGCAGGATCCAATCACAGTAGCTTTGCTCTATTTCATGGAATAATCTTGCTTTACATTGGATATGGTAGACTACTTTATGGCTGTTGTGTAGGGTAGACATATTTCCAGATGTTTGTAATCCAGTTTTTCGATTGGATGGCCACAGAGAGAGAAGAAGAATTGTGAATTCACCAAAATTGGATAAAACAAACTTCATGCTAAATGTGAGTAAAATCCACATACCTACATTATTATAAGCACAAATAAAAAGTTTGAAAATAAATAAATGAACATAGAATATTAAAATACAAAACACATTCTACACAATCCAGTGCTTCAGATACACTGTTTTGTCATTATATATGAAAAAAAAACTTATAATATTTACATATGACAAAGCAGTGGAGTCAGTAAATATGATAAGATCATGCACAAGCTTTTCATTAATTGTCTTGACCCAAGTGCGGGTGGGAAAGCACCATGTAAATATGATCTGTTAATATTATTAATAATATTGCCTCTTTTTTGAGTTTCAATAGATTTATGAATATCGTGTTGCTCAAAAAATATTGCTACAGCAATAATTTTGTATTCATTCCAGTTACTTTAATACCCTGGTGTGTGTTATAAAAAGAAAATTTTGTTTATCCATTATAAATTTTATATATATATATTACAAAAAAAAATTCATAAATATCTTACCTTTTATTTTTATATAAAAAATCTTAGCCATTAAACAGAAAAAATGACTTATTTTTTAAACTATTTTTATAGGCAACTCTAAAATTGTTTTTAAAACGTTTGGGTAGTTTACCACTAATTTGTGGTAACATAGTAATGTGACAGTTTTTACTGTTCTTAAAAATACTCTTATACAAACTGTTTATTAAACTTAATTTTAAAAAGTTTATATTGGACAAACAAAAGAGGAAACTTAAAGAATATCACAAATATTGTAAGCATGAGAAAAGAGGGAATTTGGGAATCACACTACTTTTTTGTAATACAGGGCATTTAGTTGTTTGGAATGAATCCAAAACTATTGCAGAACCAAAATTTTATGAGCAATATTCATGAATCTATTGAAATTGAATTGCAACTTATAAATGTAATATGTTTTTTTATAAATGATGGCTAAGTAGTGGATATAGTACCCCTTTTTGTCATGATGATCACTGGCTGGTACTAGTTAGAGATGTAGATTGTGTGTTTTTGTTTTAATATTGCATATTTTAAAATTAATTTTATTTTTTAAACATTTTTTGTGCTTTTAATAATCTAGGTATGTGAAAGCAATATTGGTGTTTTCAGAGAGATTTGTTCCTCCTTTTGTTTTATCCAGTATTTGGTGATTGTGTATGATTTTTTCTTTTATTTCCTATTTAAATTTGAATGTAGTTATTGATTCACTTAAAGCTAAATGCAATTTACTTTATACCATGATGCACTGCTTCTGTCACCTACTGGTCAACCTTTAATTCTTCACAATAAATAATTTGTTTATTTTAACTTTATCACCTTGTCTTGTCTCTTGTATTATATGCACAGTGAATCACAACATCTGTTATTCCTTAAACTAGGTCCTTGAATCTCTAGTTGTTGAATTTCATGTAGTTATATTCTTCATTTAACCTTTAACAAGATAAAGTAGAGACAATTTACCCTAGGGTTCAGTTTAACATGTGACTAATATATTCCTAATTGGAACTTGAGGAAGTCAAAATATTTTGGAGATATGAAATATATAGTATGGGAGTGTCAATATAATTGTCAGTAGAGTTTGAGATAAAGAATGTGGGCTGAAAACATGTGCATACTACATGTTTGAATTGCATTTTTTTTTAATAAATTTTTTCTTTGATCGGGTTATTTTTATACTTACAGTCGACTTTACCAGTTTTTGGGTAGTGTACCAAGCAATGCAGAATATCCTGTATTACAGCACGTTTTCAACAACTACCCAGAAGTTCCAGGTGAGAGGAAAGTTCTATACTTCAAGTAGAATTATTGTATATATTTTTAACATGCATAACATGATAAATTTTTAATACCAGTACTTTTAGAAGTTTTTGTCAAAGTTTGAAAGTAGTTACATATAAAAATGTAAATATCAGTTTTGAAAATTTTATACCAGTCAAGGGTGATGTTTTTAGCATTATGTGGTTATAGGGAAGAAAACTTTGTCCCAGAAATGTTGCATTTTATAGCCAAACAACAACAAAAATTTGTTTTAATTTTTACCCTATAAATTTAAAGCTTTTTTTTAAAAAAAGAATTTTCATTTGTGATATTAATTTAAAATTTTTTGTATTAATATTTATTTTAAACATTTTGGACTGATAACAGTCTCCTTTAAGAGGCACAAAATGAATATAAGAATAGATTGAACATTGTGGGATCTCGAGGATTATCAGTAAAGCAAAGAAAATCTGGCCTGGAAAAAACAGGAGGTTAGCAGATATCATACACCTGCATGTTTCCTGACTGGTGTGATGATTGGGCCACTAAGAATAAAACAGGACATGCAGAGTTACACGTGAAACCAATCATTAACTCTCTCACTACAGGCTCGGTCATTTTGATTAAGTTCATGACTCTAAAGTGACCAACAGAGATTCCATACTATAACTTTTAATATGTGTTGTGTATTTTCACAATATTTGTCAAGCTTTCATTAAACACTATAAGTCTTTTTTTACAAATAAAATCAGATTATTTTAATGAAGCATTTTTACAAAAAAATTGTTTGTGAATATTTAGAGTCAGAGTGTGGCTTCTTTGAGTACAAAGTGATTTTCATGTTAAGATTTAAAATACTTTTCTTTAACTGAAAATTGTCAAATTCTTTTGCATAATCTCTAAAAACACATAAGTTTATAACTTTATATTTTATGCTATTTTCTCTATGCTTACTCTACACCTATTTCATCAATTTGACCAACCTCATAACCACCATAAACAAATATGAAATAAATTCTAAATCACTCTTTTTAGAATGACTGCAAGTTTTAATATAAAACTACAATTGTTTATCCTAAATATCTTAAAGCTCATAACAGTATACATCTGTTTATACTTAATTTATTGTTTTATTGCCCTTTGAACCATGACTAACTAATAATCCCACCATACAAGTTGTAAATCACTTAGTGAATGTGTAGCTAACATTACCTTATTGAATTATGTAACATGAGTTGCTCACGAGCATAAGTTGTGAAGAACTTTTATTATATTTTTTCATTATTTTACCTTATCTAATCTAATAAGTTTTAATTGTTACATCTTAGTTCTTTTTATAATAATAAGTAGAGAATACACATGAAAAACAAGATATATAGTACTTACCTGGGCCTCCTTTTTTTTTTTTTTGCTGTGGACTGTTGATAAAATTTAAGCCTACTTTTTTTATACTAATGGTACTACTACACTAGATATTTCTTATTTAATTAAATAATGAGCCTAAAACACATAATACTAACACATAAAAAACAAATGAGGTCCTATAATTATCATAATTTATCTGGCTTTCTGTGAATACCATGGTAAAAAATTTCAAACTGGAGGCAAAATAGACAACGCTCTCTAAAGAAAACATTGTAATATATACCCTTACCATACCACTCCTTTTCAAGATTGCATGCATTTATATTGGATAATGTCAAATTTTACTTTCAAAAACTCAGAAAATTCTTCTCAGATCCAGATCATTTTTTGTAGTATGATGAGGAATCTCAACCTTAATATGCTCATGAAACTTGGTACAAATTCAATTACACTTTACAGAGTTTTTAAACCAAAACTGCCCTATCTACCCATTATAAAAAATGCTTTAAAGTGATAGAGAATCCAGATCTGGACCGAATTTGGAGAGAACTGTCCCATATTGACTTCCCATCTCAGGTAAAATTTTGTGTACCTTGGTCAATTACTTTTGAGATACATGTGCGGAAACACAGACAGAAAACACAACATGGACTCAATTGCTCGCCCCCTCTGAAGCAAGTAATTGAACTTACGTTTTTAAGAGCTTAAGAACTAACTAGGTAATAGGCACTTGTATCTTTAGATGTGTAAAAATGTGGATAGCATGAGTTAAATTACACAAGCTTATATTTTCAAGGGATGTAAAATTATTTTTTTATCAAGATGTATGATTTGTGTGTTTTTGTCAGTACCTTTCAGTTTTCATTTTGTAGCTTGGAAATGCAAATTGAATATTTTATTTCTTGAACTTTATCCATAATAGATCGGTTTTTGGAAATTCCTGGACAGTTGGGTTACAGCAAACTACAGTTATTTTACCCTCAGCCAGGAGCTCTTCCTGAAACCTTTGGCTGGATGACAGGTAATGATTATGAGCTCTGATTATATATTTGTTTTTCAGTACTTGTAATTTTTTAAAAGACATCCTCTGAATTATTATGAGACAATCTTTCTCATTTACACTTTGTCTAGGAAAATTTCAGGTCCAAAGTGTCCTTTAAGATATGAATTTCCTCACTAGATATCACTCTTTAACAAAGTATCTGTCAAAAGTATGAACAAAAAAAGCTTAAGTCATGAAAGTTTGTGAAAAATATTTGATTAAATAAATCAATAATCATTATTAATTACTGAATGGTCAGACACGTAAACACTTACATAACTAGGAAAGACTATAACTATGCATTTTTTAATAAATTTTCTGTAGGTGTTGAACAGTTCTGCATGTACTTAGTGATGCTCTCAGAAACAGGATGTCAAAAATCATAAAATTGCACCAATCCTCTAACTGAGACAAGAATTACATACCACAGTGGTTACTTTATAAGGCTTAATCACTTGACTCTGTTTATCTGTCATTCTCTCCTGAAAGGAGGTCCTAATCATTAGCAGGGCTGTTACAAAGACTTGTTCAAGTTATTATGAGTTGAGGATCATCTCCCTTGAATATGTGCAATAAGAATGATCACTGACATAGGCAGTCTAGAATTTAAGTCTTAAATGAACCTTATAGGAAAATTACACTATTTAATTTCCCATGAATATGCTCTCACAAATAGTTGACAAGTAAACAGCCATCTTGTGGTAGAGCTTACATCTTTTTCCATTCATGAAGGACATGCAAATTTATAGTTAGGGATTTTTCTGTTGACTTTCAGCTAATTTTGAATAGACTTTATTCTGCATGAGGCCAGTTGGAAAATGTAATTTTACCTTTACATTTTCATGTACTTTTTAACTATTAGTAGCTGGTGGCTTGTTTCCTTAAACTTCCCTTTTCTTGCTTGACAGTTTGTACTGTTAAAGTGAGTGGATTGCATGGTTATAAAGGAAGGAGGAAGTCATCTTGACAAGAAATATGATTATGTGGTTATCTTTCCTATCTTGTTGATCAATATCATCATACTTTCCTTTGTACCAAATCCAGCTTTTCAGCATTTTTGTTGTAAACATTTAGTCAAAGAAAATCAGAAATTTCTCATGGAAAAAAAAATCAGACTTATGTAGGAACCCTTTCTGTCTTGTATCCAGTGGGGCAGTACTTGCTTTCAGGGAGAGATAAGTTAAGAATTTGAGGTAGTCATGTAATTTCCAGTCCTAAACCAACAGCAATCATTTGTATGCCTGTCTCTTCAAACTGTGAGCTTATTCTTGTTCTTTAACTTACTTTCAGTCATATCACTATAAAAGGAGATGGAATTTTTTTAAAAAGTGATGAGTATAATAATTTTTTATGGAAACCAAAAACAAATAAAATCAATATCAATATTTTTTACAGAACCTGGTGTCTACCATGGAACTATTGACACAACTGGACAGGCTGGACATGACTCAGTTACAGTTGATACTCAACTTATTCAGTATCATTTTTCAATTTTACTATCTTTATGTTCATTAGTACATTTTTGTTGCCATTTTTTAATCATTTCCATTAAAAAAAATTTTTAACTCTGTAAGCTATGTAATGTTTATAAAATTTGGTCATAATTGCTAGCTTTTCAGGTTGTGTGCATTTCTTTGGGATAGGAATTTGATGATTTTTTAAATTCTGAAACCAAATCCTAAGTGTTTTCTCTAAAATAATTCATAAGCTACTAAAAACTAATGGATTAGCACAACCAGTCACATTGAAGATGTGAGTGTAGAAAAACAATAGAAAGGAAGCTTAGTTGGTTTTGAATATTCACTGCACTCATTTTAGAATGGTAATGTGACCTGGTAACTACAATTTTTATTAAGATTAAGATGACATATGTGTAGGTTTTCTAAAACACAAAATTATTATAGAAAACCAACATTTAATAGTTCACAATAAATATTTAGAAATTAGACTGTCCTCAGTATACAGTAAAACGTTTTATTTTTATTTAATAATTTATTGTATAAAGATAAAATACTGTGAGACTGGGAAAAGACTTGTATACACTACTTTTCAACATCTTACTCCTGATGATGATACAGTAAGATGTTGAAGCTTTTCCCAGTTTTGTGGTATTCTATTTTTATACAGTAAATTATTAAGTAAAACGAAGTATTTTGAGGATAGTTTTATTTTTAAGTGTTTATTTTGTACTATTAAATGTTGGTTTTTTTCTTCAGTACACCTGTGTTATACCTTTTTATTAATAAATTCTGGCATCCTCTTGAAATGAAATATTTTAATGGTTTCTTTAAACTCATTATTCTTACTGCTTATGTTTGTTTTTAATATGAAGATTTTTGGAAACTAGTAGTACAGTACTGGTAAGCACGTAGGCACTAGAGCTGGGCAATTAGTAGTATTTTCTAATCAATTAATCGACTAGCTCTAGCTCATTAATTGATTAGTACAACATGCCCCCTACAATCCAAAACAAAAATAATAAAATGGGTGTGTACTATCATGTTAAATTTTTCAACCACTGCATTATTCTAACATGGTGTAAAGTAATATTCGAATTATACTTGATTTCACATAAATGAATAAAGACCCTATAACCCGAGTGCTTTCGAGAGATGGACCTTTCAAAACAGCTCAGGTAATAGGGGTTTTATTGATTTCTATCAAGACTTCTTGTACCTACGTGTTTTTCTAACTTGATTTCATATAATAAACTCCTTTTGAAGGTTGCCATTTAAGAATTTGCAAAAACATTTTTTTTTTAATTATAATAAATAATTAAAAACAACATTTTATATTTTAAACACAAGTGCCGGTAGTGCATATTTATAAACATTTTTTATCAAAAAAATATTTTCACATAAGTTTCATGAACATTTCCAACTTGGCAGATGAATCGTTAATGTCAGCTAAATACCATCATACAATTGCCTTTGCTTGTTTTTCAACCATGTCTTAATTCCCCACTGATTTTCTGTAAATCAAATAAATTGATAATTAAATAATAAAAACTTTTTTACTTTTGCAGTAAGGGCAATCATGTTGTTATTTTAAAAAAATGTTACAATTACAAATAAATATCTAGTTAGACAATTTATTTATGTATATTGTTTGAATAGAATAAACATAAGAATTATATTCAATAAAGATTTGAGTCATCACAATATTCTGCAGACATGTACCATAATCACTAAACAGTAAATTTATTTTCTTTGATGACAAGTTTATTTGGTGAACATATTAAAAACTCTTGTTTATAAACATTGAAACTTAATAAAACCATATTATATCTGTTAAAAAGTAAAAACATAATTTTAAACAAAGAACCAAGAATCATCAAGATACTTTTATTAGACTTCAGTTATTTGACTTTATTGCTTCGTACTGTATATATGTTAAAGTAGATTAAAATATCCAAGTCTAATATGAACATTAGTTTGGTTTGTGCTTTTTCTATCAAAACTAGGTTTTATCATATTTTTTGGTTTATGTATTTCTATTTTATATTTTAAGTTATCTAGTGTGAAAATTGTATCACCATAACAGTTCAAAACTTACTGTTTTTCAGTGAATATTAATGGCTTGAGTTCAAGTAATCCAAGCAGTGAACATTCCACATTTGTTTATGTATTTTGACATTCCCATACTTTGTTTGGAAGAAATAATAAAATATTCTTCATAACTCTGTAAAAAAAAGTAAATTTATTGTGTAACTGAATAAATTTAAATGTTCTACACATATCTAGTTAATAGCTTTTAGTGACTCCAGTTCATAGTAAGTATTTCTGGGTGCTTTCGGAAACTTATCTGCTACAACTTCATAGTTTATTTTTCCTAAAAATGTTATTCTTGCTATGATATGAAGTAATGTTTTCTCCAATTAAATCATACAAAGAGTAATACTTAAACAGAAAAAAATAAGGCATTCCAAAAACTAACTTTTTTACTGGAGTAAGTCATTCCTTTTTAGAAGATACAGTACATTATTGATACATATGAAATTATTATTTTTTCTATGTAAAGGAGTTTTTTTACTAATTATAAAGCTTGTCCAGGTTACTAGAAAACTAAGTTAAATAGTACATGTGTTATTAAACATTTAATTGTTTCTATACTTAACTTGATCCAGCTACCCAGAAGTAAAAGGAAACCTTCCAAAGAGTCCAATTTCATTTGTTTTAACGAAATTCCACACACTGGTACTTTATCCAGACAGGTAAGAAAACTAGCAGTGTGATGTGCAGATATTATTGTTGTGAAAGATTGTGTAGATTTATGGTAATAGCTAGTAACATGAGATGCAACCTCATGGTCTAACCAATAAAAAAAACCCTTCCTTGATCTTAAATGAGTTAATTCATGAGATACAGTTAGAACTATTGCTGATTATTGCTCAATATTTATATTGATCTTGAGAAGTACTTTGAGTTTAGAACCATATGTTTTTTTTGGAATTAGGTTTTTTGTTCTACTGGTTCTTTTTCCTAATTCCTTTATATTGAAGTTCATAACATTGAGATTTATGTTGTTTTGTTTATTAACATTTGCACCTTGTACTGGCCAGGCATGTGTTTACTAATTGTTTTTTGTAAGTGATAAAATTTGTAGTTTGAAAGTTTTATTCTGGATTTCATTTATATTTTGATAAATTGTTTTTCTTAGACTCTGGTTTTAGTGGTATTTTGTTTTAATCAGTTACATGCTTTTACTTTGATTGTAGTTATTGATGTTATATTCAATTTGACATTTGTATCAGTAGTATTCGTATGGATGGTAGAAATTATTATAGGATTTTAAATTTTCTTTATGATTAGTATTTATTGTTTCTTTAATGTTTGAAGTGTAACTTTGTTATGCATCAGTGTGATGGTATTTGTATTTCAAGAAACATTTTGTTAGTTGTTTTTTTTTTTTTTTTTTCATGAAAGTTTTTTTCTTGTAGGGAGGTAGTAAAAAAAATTGGTCTGTACTCCATAAACATGCCCTTCCATTTCAACA